TTTTTTTAATCCTTTTATCATAAGAAATGAGGATATCTGCCATTTCTTACGTGATAGTGGTTTTTTCGTTTTGAAATTTTAATGTCAAGAATGACCATTACATTGACCAGGACCGACTTTCTGTGCAACTCAGCGCTGATCAGTATATTCATTGTACTGTTGATGAGCAACGAATTTGGAAAGAAAACATCAAGAAAACAGTGAATCATCACGTTAAGCAATTCTTATCGATGCGCATTGGATACAATACACATTTTGAGCTGCGAAAAGTTAAACAACATCGCTATTGTTTTAAGCGTAGATCAAGCGGTAGCAATGCGTTTCGAGTTTTGTCAGCGTGAGGGATTATTTTTGAAGGCGTACTCCTCTTTGCAGGCCTGCTTCCAGAGCTGATAACTGATTCTACTACCGTTTGATCGACCGAGTTATGTTGAAAAAGAGTGGTAATCGATTTTTGGCTAAATGTATGAAGTCGATGAGGCGTTGTTCTCAATTGTACATTATTGTTGGTGGTTTGTTCAAAGTGTAGATGTCGTGAGTTAGTGAAAAAATATCTTCGACGACATGAGAAGAATTGTTCGCTCACACAGGATCGAAATTGAACCTGCGATTGATTGTTATTTCCTTGCATACTTCAGCCCCACTAAAGGTTTTCTTTCATAACTAAAGGATTAGCTCAACAGTGATAGAGGGCTTCGCATAGTTTAAGGATTCTTTAGAATGCCTTCTACGCAGTGACTCCGTGAACTATAAAATTCCTCCAGTAATCGTTCCAACATAGTCTACTAATCAATATGTATTCTTTCCTTGATGAGCTTACACGAGGTTGATAATTACATTTATTTTCGGCTAACGTTTCGACGTCTTCGTCTTCCTCAGAGCCGATGATCCGAGTCGATGGTCCTCGCTTGTTATTCGTCTCGACGTGGCAGCTTCGCCTTCGTGTCGAGACAGGTCTTCCTCCTGAAGTCAGGTCTCCTATTGTTTTCTAATAAATTCAATAATAACAACCTCGTGTCTGCTTATTGAAGAAAAACATCGAATTATCAATCAATGCCGAGCTTAAAAGAAAGTCGGTCTTGGGAATTGCGCGTTCGTTTCCCACCGCAGACACCTGCGGTCTGGAGTTTTGCAAATATCTCAGCATCATTAAAGTTATAAGTTCAAAAAGTTTATGCTCACAAGCCGAAACTCTTTCTTAGAGCTGCGGGTTATCTATGGGAACTTGCTATGATTCATGAGTAATTTACTTTAAAACGTGGTGCTAAGGTGTTTTTCACTTTTTCGCAGTCATCGAGTTTGATAAATAATAAGACCCAGTTCATTTTTTCTTTCTGCTAAGATTGTTTATTGATCGGTAATCCACGGAATATCGTGCTCAACCATCGTTTTACATCTCAGTCAAGAGAGAATACGATAGCTCTTCGAGCAGCCGAATTCATGCGTAAACCCCTACCACATTGGGTTAGTCTTGCATTGAAACGAAGTGGTCTCAAGGACTAGACACAATGTGCGCTCTAACTTAGCTTTTAAGTAAATAAGACGAATGTTATACGCTCAGTAAAGGGGTCTTTGGATATTCCTATAACAATGCAATTGTAAACGGGAAGATTTGTAGAAGATTTTAAGTGTCGACGAACCAGTTTGGCATGAGAATGGTTGTGATTCTATTGACTACAAATCATTCAACGAGGAAGCACCCTTTGGAGAAAACCTTCGACCGGACTGCTCCTTCATGTTTATTCGTTGCTACAAAAAGTTAACTACCGCCGTAGTTTACACAGAAATGAGATCAGCGTAATGACAAATGCCATAGAAATGAATTGGCGGATGTGTTAAGATAATTCAACACCACACGCTGCAAAATAAAAAGACGTTGTTCACCATTTAGTGTTTCCTCGTGCAAACTACGAACTTTCAATTCACCCTGCCAAACTTTTTCCCAGCACCATAGATTTAATATAATACTTCGACGAATAATTGCTACCCATTCTCGAAAATAATAATGATCCGCAATTGCGAAGTTGTGGAAAGATAAAAAAGGAACAGAAGCAAGGTTTCTATGACGAGTTGCTTGCCAGCTAGCACATTAATGCACCACACCGTGGGCACGACTCTATGAATTCAAACCTGATTGAAACTCATTACCAGTAGTCTTCCAAATCCAGTTTCATACGCTGCTTGTTAAATTCGGGAGTGTTCACTCAATGGAAAAATCATATCTGTACAAGTAAGCAGTTCGTAAGGAAGAATATTTTCATTGCACTACGTCGGAGACCTGTAGTATGGCGCAAACATATGCTTCACTGAGTCTTAATGTTCCTTAGATAAACATTCAGTTTCGTTGAGATCACTCTCGAGAAAGTGATTAAAAGAACGAGAGGATGAGCTAAAGTGAGAAAACATGGAAGCCAAGTTCAAATGTCGGCAACTCCGTCATTCTAGATGAGGGAGGTTGTAGTATCAGGATATGTATACCTCTTTCGAAGACGTAAGACGAAGTTTTTTATCTGTGTTTGGAAAGTGCCCACGAGTCAACTATGTCACACTAAGGAAAAGAAAAAAAAACACGCCTGTGTAGGAGAGAGCGTTAGGCTTGTCCGCTTCGATGATGGTATAAATGAGTTCCGCTGTTAATTTAAAATTGGTATTAGGGTTGTAGTACTAGCAGTTTTACTAGTAGTCATATGGTATTGTCGTACAATGCTTTAAAGGTTGTCTACACACTCCTCCACTCTTCTTGGTTTTCTGCTCGGTATGTGTCTTCAATTCCGTTTAATAATAGGTGAAAAGTGCGCCTATGTGTGGGGCGCAGTGAGGCAATGAACTGAACCGTAAATCCTGAGTTATATTAGGAGATCCGGAAGACTTCCTTATTGACTAAACGGAAAATGGAGTCAGAGACTTTTTCTTTTGTTTTATTCCGTTCTGTGAGCTTCTATATAAGGTTTTTGAAGTTTTTGCTATCTTGAGCTGAGCCCAGCAATGGAATAACAATGAAGAAACTGCAAAGGCTCTTGTGTTCTCCTCTGTGAAACGTTCCCAATTCCACGTAGAGTTCATCAAAAATTTATTCACTGAGAGAGGTGGCCGTGTAGGAAGTTAAGATGATCCAAACAAATGGAATGTTATATCCATTTTCTCGTGTTTTTTTTTTAGTTTTCCAAATGCATGAGCTTTCAAATCGTTGGATTTGTGGACCTGTAGCTCTTAACAACTTCCGAAGAATGTTGTCAATGATCGTAAGTCGTCCTTGAGCATACTCGGCTTATTCACACTCAACTTCAAGAAGAAGCGTTTGAAAACAACGTCTTATCACAGACTCGGTAATTGCGAGGGCTTGTACTGCGAGCCGTTCATGGCGGACTTTGAGCTTCCCAAGTCAATGAAACCGCTTCGGATTTTTATGATCTGTTGTTGTGCATTGGAGTTTATCCACGAAAACCGGATCAGGCAAAGTGACTCGATTTTTTCGCACACCTTCCGATTCTATCACCGTTTCTACGAAATGGTAATTGACTCTATGAAATATCTGCTTAGAGATAATCACAGAAGCCGACTGTATCACCCGTATCGCCTATAGTCCCGTTGATAGTCGGGTGACTCGAGCGGGCGCCAGTAAATCTTCTATTTTTCCCTGTCGCGTGCAAGAATAACCCAGTGGGCTCTGCTTGCTCTAGGGACTCGTCGAGCATCATATCTTTCTTCAAGACTCTTTGTGAAAAACTCTGACCAACGGGTCGGTGGTCTTCCTGCAGTACGTTTGACATGCCGAGGAATCCAGTCACTAACGGCTCTTGTCCATCGGTTGTCATTCATACGCATTGCGTGTCTGGCCCACCTTATCTTCGACTGTTTGGTTGTTTGAGCAGAAGTCAACTAAATTAAGAAAATTCAAGCGATTCGGCCCAACGTTAGACTGATGTGTCTTTGATGAGCAGGTCTTTTTCATTTGTTTGCTACCCAACTCATGAATTCAATCTTGGTTTGATTTCTGCTTTTTTTTTTTTACAGATTTTGCAGGTATAAAGAGTTAAGAGGCACATGAGTCTAGACACCCAACACTATCTAAACGTTTATTGTAGAACTCTAACATTGAAGGGTTAACAGAGTGCTAGCGCTGGATTAATGCCGTTGCGATGTTACTCTGCTGAAAGTCTAAGTACAATTTTTTTTCAAGAAGTCTATTCATGGGAAACAGTTTTTATACCCATCGTCTTGCTGAGCTGTCTTTCACTGAAATTCCCCGTTCTTAAATCCTATAACACTACGAATTTCGCAAGCAAACCTTATGGTGAGTGTAGATTTCCTCTTTCTTTTGCAGTTGACCCTATTCAAACCAGTTTTTGTCGAAGATTTGCGATAATACTTCTGAGCCAGTGAGCTCGTAGATAGCGCATAAATATCCTCATCACATTGCCCAAGAGGCGGAGCTAATTGAGGTGGCAAAATCCTGCCCCTCTTCTCGGTGATGAAATTCTCCTAGAAATAATATATCTTCTAGATATTCAAATAAATTGTTAAGGGAATCAAGAAACTCAGTGAAGCTCATCAATAAGTGTAAAGCTGCCAATATAGCACATTTGGATAGGGGAAAATGTTGTTTCAAACATCCTATAATTGTGAAGAGGAAAACTTTGTGAACGCAGAGCACATGTATCGCTAAGTAAAGTTCTTAAGAATCCTTAGAACCATTTCTTGAAGTGTTGCCACACCAAATAAAGGCTGTGAAGCTATGACCTTTGGAAACGCTCACCAATATGGAAATATGAAAGCAAAATGCCCCAGAATAGCAAAGACAAAGTGGCATAAATAACTTTCAGAAATAGATTTCATAAAAGTGTTTGGGGTAGAAGTGCGTAGGAGACGTTGCTCATCAAATCCGTTTTCGTCTCATTCAAAATTAGTTTATGTCAAAAGGATTGTGTGGAAAATTGTATTGCCGAGAAAAAGTGGTTGTTGTCTAAATGACATTATTGCAATAGATTGCTTTCAAACCCATGAAAAGGCTTAGATCTGGTAAGAAATGGATTGCCGTTGTGAAACGGTGTGCTGACAAAACCGTGACGCTAGATGTAGGTGTTTTTTCTCTGCTAGCCATTTCTTATGACGAATTTTTACGCAGATTCTCAAGCTCTACACAATAGGTGTTTTAGTTGCGGCATGGGCTTATGTCTTTGGTGCTCCAGTGGTGTTTCCAATAGCAGCAATCTTCCAAACGTCGTCTGTCTACTTTTGTGTGGCAGCTGCCGTCGACTGCTTTATCAGAGTAGTACTGCCTGAGTCCGTTCTGCAGTTGTACTGCACGCCAAGGTAACGTCTGTTTAACAAGTTTCATTTGGTGAAGCAACATGCAAAGTACAAACATCGATGGTCGTTCATCAGGTGAATCAGTGAATTGATGAAAATTTGAACTCAGTGATTTCCACTTACTACAATTTTGTGTGGAAACCAAAAAGAAATGGCCAATAAGTTCCATAAGCTATCCATAGTTTTCTCGCGAATTTATTGGCAATTGCTGTCCATATTTCGAACTTAGTGAAATCTTTCGTAACAACAGGATAAAGTTCTTCAGTTGCCTGGTTCATGCTTGCCTCCCAATATTTCCGACATACCAGAAATCAGCGCTATTACAGAAATTAATCAGCTTGTTCCCTTGGAAGGGCGAGTACGGCGCAGTGGTCGGAGGCGCTATGCAATACAGTGATCGATCCTTGCGCCCCTGGCTCACCAAGCCTTCCATCCCTTCGGATTAGGGAAATCGGTACCAGATTTGTCTGCGAGGATAGCAGCACTGGCTCGATACATCGGTAGGCCACCGCGAGTCATTGTAAAGGCCAGTTATGCGTTCAATCACTTCCAACGGTACCTAATGAAGTCGAATGCACGGCGCATCCCTCAGGGATCCATCAACGCAGGGAGTTTTGTCCCTTTTTGTCCTTTATTCCGAATGTTCTTTCGTAAATTTGAAATAATGTTCGATTCGTGCATTAAGAAAGGAATAAATTTTATTTTTTTTCCACATATTTTAGATTGTTGTTTATAGGAGAGCAAAAATGACGTGCACTTGTATTATGGTGATTTGTATTCTTTACAACATTCCTCACTTCTTCGAACTGGAAAAGGTGAGATGTTCTCTTCAGTTTCTGATGACCCAGTCCTCTAATCTTTTTCGACATACACATCGCTGGCCAAGACTATGTCTATGTTGAATGATGAGAAGGATCCGTGACAGGCTCGTAAACTAATTTCCGTCATATCTCCTGCATTTAAAGCCAACTCGTCGGAGGCAAATAGGAAGATGAAACGATAGAAAATGAGCGACACTAAAAGGGATGCTATTCAGACCTGATTTCAACAGAGTAGCCCTGATGAACTTTATCACACCACCGTAGTTCCCTCTTTGCGAAGACTGTGCTGCAAGCGCTACCTACTCGATACCTTACACCACTGAGAAGTTCTCGCCTTGATTTCGCGCTTATCTGAAGCATAATTTGCTGAATAAGAAAAAGTGCTTCATGGCCAAAACTCAGAAAATTGGTGCAAGATGCAGAAGAACAAAGGAACGACACTGATTGTAGTAAGGGAGGATCACCTAAGCACAACGAGGTGTGTTTGTATCCGCTGAGAAATTTTGATCTCAGAAACGAAAATTTAGCCACATAGAAAACGTTTCCTTCTGATAACACTTGTATTTCTTTTTTTATGCTATAAAAGCCTAAAGTTTGGTGAATCCATCTTATCGACCTGCTAAGAAACCAACTGTGTGCGTTTGCCAATGCGTGCTAATTGTTTCTTGTTTGAGTGATGCCATGGATATTGTGATTCTCTCAGTGCTAGTCAATTCATCTTTTTGCCTTACTTTTTCAACTGCATTGAGAAGAAAAGATGACAACAACAGATGAAACGAACTCGTCGAAGGGGAGCGCATACTTACGGACTTTCTACCCATCAGTGAACCCACTTGAAAGGAGAATAAGGCATTAATGTAAATATTTGTACATCAAATTCACAACTGACCATCATGATAAAGGGGTTATCTGGCCAGCTTCAGCAATGCGCATTGAGTTCAATACATAGTTGCCCAAATGTTAATAACTCTTTCAAATTTAAATAGATACTTTTGAGCTCATAGTGAACTGTTTTAGCTGAGATAAAAACCACCAAAATGTCCTTTGGAACAACCTTCTTTCCTACAAAAGCGATGAAATTCCGATTTTTTCAAGCCCATGAGATATTTTTCTTTCGTTTTTTGTTTTCTTCAAAACTTCAATTTCTACAGCTGGAGCGACTGGAACGGGAATTTGTTAAACGGAATAACGGATTTTATATGTCATTGATGCCTACGGATATCGTTCTAGTATAAAAGCTCCCAGGAGACAAATTTTGTTGCCTTTTAATTTACTGCGTACTACAATTTTTCACGGCAGTGTATTATGTAAAATACAGTCACAAGGATGCTGAGATATTTGCAAAACTCTGGAGTGCAGGTATCTGCGGTGGTGATCGAACACGCCATTATCCTTTCCGAGAGCTAATACGTACTCCACCACACCATTGGGGTCCTTCGTTTCGCACTTCTATGAACTAGTCTTCTACTCAACGGCACCATGTCGGGTGATTGCTGATGGCGACGTTAGGTAGAAAACTAACTGAGGGTAGCGGAAAACGAAGGACCCGCATGGTGTGGTGTTGAATGTACTAGTCTCCGGAAAGGGTAATGGCGTGTTTTATCACCACCGCGGACACCTGCACTTCGGAGTCTTGCAAATACCTCAGTATCATTATGTTAAATTTTGTTTTCACCTTTTTGCATATTGGTGTTTTATGCAGATGAGAAAGTAAAATAGCATTTTAAAAGAGTTACATATCATTAGGACATCTAGGGCAATATGAATGCGTCGTTTTCTTGTTCAGCAATCGCGAGGTTTTAAAACAGCATACATTTACTTCCATAGAAAAACACAATACAAGACAACGCTAGCTGACGTTTCGACAGTATCGCCTTCTTCAGAGCCTGGAGGGGTATACTGATATACAATCTATTAGGCCAAACGCTTCAGTAACACTTACAAAAAGACGAAAAACTCTGGTAATTGCATGATCAACAACTTCTCGAAAAACCCACCGCTTTTCAGTGACTTCCAATGAGGAAGCTTAGAACAGCTGATTATAGACGCATATGGTTGACGACTGCACCATCCCACATCGAAATCGATGCGAACATGCGGGGTCAGGTCGCGTATGATCTCCGGGCATTCGTCCCTGCTATTCTTTGTGCAGGTTATTAGAAAGTCGATCCTGGGAACTATCTAGGGCAATATTTGAAAGCCTCTTCTATAAACGCATCGAGCTCCTATGTCCCTAAGTACCTCAGCTGTCGATAAATTGTTGGCGATCCAGCTTCGTCATAAATGGATTATAGGATGGTAATGTGGTTGTGTTGATCTGACGATGTTCTTTTATTACCCAAACTTTTCTAAACAGAATATTTTAAGTCGACAACCAAAAGACTCTTTGTTTGGCATTTATCCATTTGAAATCTTTGCAGGAATTTTAAATGAGATTCTAGTTTGATGAGGTCGAGATTTTTGTAGGGGCACTATGACATCTATCACAGTGTGACGTCATCGGCTCAATTTATGTTCACACCACCAGGAATGGTGTTAATAACACTGTTGAAAGGCCTCTTTTCCTTAGTAAGAACTTCTAGTTATCTAAAATTTTCTCGAACACTCATTGCTAAGTAGAAACAATTCCATTCTTTCGTCATCTCCAGATTATGAATTATGAGTTTTTTTTTCCATATTTTCAATGGCTTTTTTAACGACTCATGCAGCTTGGAGTAATTTCCACGTTTCTGATTTTCGCTGCTGTCGTTGATTTGTGGTCCGTGTGATATTTTGGGACCTTCGAAATGGTTAAGTTATTGGTTAATTATCGTTCAGATTTTCATGTTTCGGTTTGTACTGTCGAAGCATTAGATCTAGTAAATTACGTATCAGTGTACCCTTCCAGGCTCCGAAGAAGGCTATACTGCCGAAACGGCAGCAACCGCTGTGTTGCATGTGTTCTTTTTTTGGCAGGAAGTAAACGGGGGCTGCTTGACAACCTCGTGATTGCTGAAAAAGAAAACGACACCGATAAGTTATTATTTAGCCAGGCACCAGAAGTCTCGAAACGATTAATACCGTACATCGTGATGGTCTAGTGCAGTGATTGTAGAATAGAAAATATTTCAAGAATATTTTAACACTACCAACTCTATATAGTGTTCGTATGAGAATCCTACCCTACCAATGGAAATTCTTCATATTTGTTCTTTTTTGAGGCACTACTTACAGTATTCCTGCCTTGTTGTTTCATATCTGCTTTATTTAGAGAGGTTAATGAGATTTAAGCGTATCGTTCCCGTTCACTTCCACATAGGATTTCAGGTGTTTGTCCATGATTATTATTGTTTAGCCTGAGGCTCATTTGCTTCATCATCTTTCTTGATTTCTGAATCAACAAAGTAGTGTTTCTGCCTGTAAGACTTTTTTTATAGAAAGTATACCTTTTTTAGAGTTGCGAAATCTCTGGAAAAACTTTTCAGTGCCTAAGGTTTACTTGTTGAGATCTCATACTGTCGGCAGAGTTTTCAGGACGCTAGACGGAAGCTTATGAGGCTGTTTATTCCTTTTTCAATTCCTTTTAAAAAATCAGACCCTCAAGGGATTTTTTAAAAGAAGTAGGCTTAACATTCTATCCATATGGCCCTTTCATCTACGTTCGTATTTTCTGATTGATCACTGGCTTAGTGGCGTCATTGCGTTGTTTATGCATGTGTGCTTCAATGGCGTTAAATTCCAATACCCTTGATGAGTCATCACGACGTTGTTCTCTAAATATTTATCTAATTTGTGGGATTTTATGATTTTTTAGAATCATCGTCGGAGTATGGGTTCAAGAAAATGTCTAAGGGTCGACGAAAATCTATAACGATTTTTGTCGAAAACCGTCTCTTGTCGATTCACCGAGAATACAAGAGCTCAACTATATCAAGAGTTGTGTCAGATTAAAAATGTGGTTCTCATGTAGTCTCGATCAGAAGTACATTAATTCCTTGCAAAGTTCATTTGTTCTCCCGAAGAATTTAACAGTAGATTTCTATCCGCTGGGAGACAATTTTCTACCTTAATCATAAGTTTTTAAGCGATTGGAGTAATGTTGGGTATTCTCAACTAGCAGGTTACTACACTAAGTGAATTAGCTTTAACTTTACTCGATTCGATGGTACTGGCGTAAGATTTTCCAGAGCTTCCAGTCTCTCTTCAGCTAGAATTTTGCTTTGATTTCAGAACAGTTACCTTTTCTCTTTAGCCTTCATTTCCTCAACGAGAACCTTTGATGTATGAGTTATTTCATTCACATATGATACTTCTGTCCTTCTGAGAAACTGTTGAAAGCGATTTAGAGTGAAAGATAAGTGGTTTCACAGCATTTTTGCTGATCGCTTTCCACTATAGTGAAGGAGAGCTGTTTTTGCCAATTGCAGACTTTTTCTACATGGTCACTAAACTGGGTCGTTTAGATACTGTTTACCCTAAGTTTCAGAGAGTTTTGTAGTGTTTTCTTGTGTAACTATTTGCATATTATGTTGCTTAAAAAAAGACGCGTGTGGCGCAGTGGTCGCAGGCGCCCTGCAACACGCACGTGGAATCGATCTCCGTGCCCATGGCCCACCAAGCCCTCCATCCCTCCTGTGTAGGCAAATTGGCACCAGACTTGTCTGGGAGGATAACAGCATCGCTCGATACATTGAAAGGCCTCCGCGAGTCATAGTAAAGGCCAGATATGCATCCAGTCACTTCTAACGATGCTTAATGAAGGCGAATGCATAGCGCATCCCTCAGAGATTGATTAACGCCGGGAGCTTTTTTCTTTTACAAAAAAAAGCTTCAAAGGTTTTTTACTACATTGGTTAAAGATGCAGTTGTTTTGAGACTTTTTATCTTTTTTAGTTAGTTTAAAGTCCTTGGGACATTTCATCGTTCGGCCATTTCTTTGGCGTTGTTATTTTTCCTCGGATTTAACGTTAATGATCTATATGTATTACACATTCCTAATCTGAATTGACCGATGAGAAAGATTTTCATGAACCCTTAAGTATTTTCCAGGGCTTCTCGTTCATTTTCGCTATGAATATTGTAAATTATGTCTAATATGCTGGATAAGCGGAAAAATTTTGGATAAGCGGAAAAATTTATCTCGAGTTTAGCGCTTAGTGTCTCCGTCGCGAATGAGCATACAAAATAAAAGAACACGATCGTTGGGATACGTTGTGAAAATTTATAAGCCAAAAGATGACAAGGGTAATTCTCATAACTTCAGACTCTTTCACTCGTGAAAAAGCGAGAACGCGCCAGTACTAAAGCTGGAATACTTGAAGCTGGCTATTCACAGGCATGAAGAGCGAATATAATTGGCTACTACAAATTGATGAAGGTTCCCTAGTTAAGGAAAATGCGATCTCATTGGGTCATTACGTTCTAGACATAAGACAGACGGTCAGGAAGTCCTCTTTCGGTGCAATACAACGGAATCCTAATGGAATTCAGAAGAACACTTGCAGATGATCAAGATACCTTAATTACGCTAAGATATTGGCAAAACCTCGGACCGGTGGGGAACAAACACGCTATTACCCTTTCCTGGGGCCAACGCATAATACCCTGCCGTAAAAAATTGTAGTAGGCAGTAAGTAAAAAGTGAACATTGCGATTCAGACTATAGTCTCAGCTTAACTGGGTTCATTGCCGATTTGGGCTCCCCAGATTAATCTCGTTGACGGGTGGTTGCTGATGGCACTAATCGATAGAACTAGTTGAGAGATAACCGAAATGGTGGACTCGCATGGTGTGGTGGTGAACGCGTAAGCTCCCGGAAAGGGTAAAAGCGCGTTCGTTTCCCACTGAAGACACCTGGGATCTGGAGTTTGCAAACAAGTCAGCATCACTGCGGTTGAGTTTTCAAGTGTTTTTGAGTTTTCGAGTCAAGCTTCTATTTCGACGATAGCAGAATCTCGTTGAACAGCTTTTAACGATATTTACGTCATTGAATAATTTTGCTTTGCAATAAGTGAACATTTTTTTAGTCGGCTCAATTTAGAAAAGAGAATGGGTGGTTTTTTAGCATGAACTCGATAGCTTTCAAACCCAATTTCTTCACATTCAGAAATGGTGGTCCGCGTACTCTACATCCGTGGTCAAATCGGCACTCTTGCTTTCACCAGAAAGTTAGCTTCGCAAAAAAAGGCATTGTGGTCCGAACAGGAGATCTTGGGCTCAGATTTCTAGAAATAGTTTTCGTTCTTTCATTCGAGGTTCTGATAAGAGGATGCTGAACAAGCGGGTCACAGAAGTGTTCAGTAGTCGATGTCTGGACAGATGAAGTGGAGTGAAACGGCTAGAGACTTTCGCAATATATTTAACCCATTCGTTACACTTTTTTAAAGAAAAAGTAAGACTACAATCTTAACCCTTTTATTTACTGCCTTCTTCGTCTTAATGGCAGGGTATGTTGCGAAATATAACTCGTATGAAGTGATGAGATATTTGCAAAACTCCGGACCGCAGGCGTATGCAGTGGGGAACGAACACGCGCTGTTGTCCTTACCGGGGACACCTTACCCTACCTACCTCCTTACCTTAGTGGTTCCCCACTGCATACACCTGCGGTCCCGAGTTTTGCAAATATCTCAGCATTTTATAGAAGTAAGACTACAATTAAGTCTGGATTACTGCATGAATCCGTTTTATTACATATTTTTCTGGCTTTATTTTTTAAAGTGCTTATTTACCATGCTTTTTGCAATCAATCGGTGGTTTATTTAACTAAAATGTTGGGCCTCAGGTGGTTCATATTCGTGAGAGTGTTTTCTTCACATCTAAAGATTTGTAAAAACTCTTTTTCCCGCGTGGCGAGGACCAAGCCATATCCCCTTGTGGTCACCACATCAAAGCAGAGTGGCGTGTGTGCTCAAAGAAACTTCTATGAGGCTATCTAAGCTTGACGTTTAAAGAAGACATGCAATTTTATGAAATCTCTTCTCGGTCTTCTCCAGTCCATGTGGGAGCGCCTTAGCTCGGCTCTCTGAAAGACTGGAAAGAGAATCGACTCGACCAGCATTCTGCGACATTCTTAATGAAGACGAAATCTTTAAGCAGCACCCGAAGCAACACGCGAAATGTTCAAAGACCTTTCTGAGCGATGAATTGAGGAAAACGAATCAAAGGCAGGAAGTGCTGGGATCCGCACAGTTGATGCGATAGCGGGTTCTGTAGTGCTTGACATTTGAATCTTGAAACGTCCGTAATGAAAATCGACTTCCAATTAACCTTGGTTAAACAATCAGTATCATAGTTTATTGAAAAGCTTAGACGGCTTTCTTACACTTCTCTGTCTTGGCTAATTATAACTGCCCTCCCTATAGAGCCGCAATGATCCGAGCTGGATATCTATGGTTTCTTTTTGCTATGCAAACTTTCCTATTCGCATCAAGTCGAGTCAGGTAGAGTCAAGCACTGCACTGTTCATGCTAGTCATCGCGAGTGTTATGAAGGCTATGAGATCATATTTTAGTCAGAATAATTTTGTAACAACCTCCTTGCAGGCTTTTCAATAAGCCACGTTTTTTCTTTCTTTGAAGGTGCCATGCATCGCAGCTGATGGAGATTTGGGACAGCAAATCTGTCCGACGGATATTCGACTCGATCCAGCTTATTATGCAATCTATTACACCTATATGTACACCACATTTTTGGCTATTGGGCCACTCACATTGTTGATTCTCCTCAATATCTGTGTGGTGTTCACCGTGCTCACGAAGAGAACTGCTGACAGTGGTAAGACTTGCATCTGTTTCACTCTTAGCTTTGACGGATAGTCGGGCTATTGTTTCCTGGCTTTTGCACCGAATTCTCAACTATCAAACGTAGGCATATGACTTAGTACATCTGAAAGATCATTAATTGATACTTGCGTTCGATACTACACAACCGTGTTCTAGCCTTTTTTTCAACAATTATTGAACGAATCAACTTTTTGGTGATAGAGTAAGAAGCGATTTCAAGGAGAAAATAACATTAACATTAATGTATCAGAAGGATACCCTTTATTTATGGTGCAAGCATGTTTAGCATCCTTCTAAAGGATTATCGTTATAGTAGATAGTAAGAAGTCGAAATAAGTTAAGATAACCACAATGATGCTGAGCTCCAGACCGCAGGTGTCTGCGGTGGGGAACGAATACGCTATTGTCCTTTTCGGGGAGTAACGAATTTTATCACCACACCATGCAGGTCCTTCGTTTCTCCTGTCTCTCAGCTAGTTCTATCGATCAGCGTCTTCAGCATTTACCCGTCAACGAGATTGATTTAACCAAGTCAGGACAGCCAGAGATTTCTTGGAGAGCATTCCTAAATTTGATGTTGTTATTTTAGAAAAATTTCCATTTTTCAGACGATTCTGATACCATAAGCCTGATCCTCGTTGTATTCTTCTTCATATTCTGTAATTTCACCGCTCTACTGGTTAATTTCATGGAAATCATACTGAATAACCCAGTTGGTGATTTGATTAATTTACAATAAACAACAACGAAAGCGAATGAATTATTTTAGAACCTTCTTGTGTATTTTATTGATTTGTCAAACTTGTTGGTGGTGATAAATGGTACAGCGAATTTCTTCTGTTATCTCATCTTTGGAGCGGGCTTTCGACAAACGTTGAGAAAGGTAGGAGGCACTTCGCTTGTAAGGTGTTGCTATCCAAAGCATTTGAATTCCTGATCGGCTTGTGAAGTGCAGTCGCATTTCTGAAGGAAAAAATATCTACAGGAAATGACCTATAAGGCTAACAACTAAAGAAGTAGATCACTAATATGCTTGCCGAAAATAGTAGCAGCAAATAATTCTGTGTATTCTTGTTGAGCGAACGCGAGGTGTTACTTTTATCCTTTATTCACGAACAAGCCGACTTTTCGGCGGATTTGGCCTTCCTCAGAGCTTGGAAAGTCAAGTTGACAGCAATCTATTCGGCCAAATACCTCCATAACCAAACAAAGAAAACACTAAACAAAGAGTTCAATCACTTTGAACACAGCTTTGCACACTCACCGCTTTCTATGAGGCTTAATAGAAAGTCGGCGGTGGGAGTCCGCGTACGTGATGGAGTCCTTCGACGTTAGCGCCCTTTATACAAACGTGTCGAATGACTCCACAATGTAAGCCATATTCGAACTCCTTATACAACACGACGGAGAAATAAACATGTACGGCTTCAAGATGGAGCAGTTGATGGCACTCTTAAAAGAATGCTTGAGGTGCTCAATCTTCAGATGGACCGGAAAGCACTACGCTCAAATAAGAGAGTTGGCAATGGGACAACGACTGGCACCAAGCCTTGCCATTGCGTCTATGTCTAAGGTGGAAGCACCGGTGATTGATCTGGGGCCGCTACTCCACTGAAGATATATAGATGACTGTTTTGTTCTTTTCTCAACACAAGAAGAAATGGACAAGTGTTTCGAGTTGTTAAATGCAGAGTCAGAGTGTATCAGGTTCACCCGAGAGAAGCCGAAAGATAAATGGCTTCCATTCCTGAACGTCCAAACTCACCTGTCAGAAAATGGCTACATTACAAAGTGGTAGCGAAAGCCAAGTAGTAAAACATCTTGGTTCACTACCTCTCCTCTCACCCCTCTCACTCGAAAAGGGCGCTTGTAAGAAATATGTTTCGAACAGCAACCAACGTGTGCACAGGAAGAGAGCAGAGAGGGGAGTCCCGGAACTTGGCGCGGGAAATAGCCATTTCTAATGGCTTCGAAACTGCAGCTCGAGATAGGTGTAGAGAAAATCCTAGGTCCCCAAAACGGCAACTCTAGCGATAGAAAGGTCTCGTTTATCCTACCCTTCATCTCAAATGATGTAAGCACAGCTATAAAACGCTGCTTAGGAAGGGCGGGTGTAGGGAATTCGGTAAACGTAGTTGAAATGCCACCGAATAACCTTAGGTGCCAGCTAGTTCGTAACCGCCTAGACGACAGTCGATGTGCGACGCAAAATTGCATAATTTGCCCCAGTGGTAGAGGCGTTGATTGCATGAGCTCGGGTATAGTTTATCTGATCTCCTGTAAAGCGTGTGGAGACGAATACATTGGCGAAACGGGCAGACCCCTCTGTGTCCGCATGAAAGAACATCTAGGCGGCAAACGTCTGCCAAATACCTCACTAGGCACGCTTGGCGCCCAGAGGCATAGCGGGGAAGACTTTGAAGTACGTATCACGAACCTCGCACAAGAGTCGAGAACACAAGCACGCAAAACTCTCGAGGCGTTCTGGATTAATTCCAGAAATCCGAAAATGAACCGCAGGAAGAATGCCTCATTATCACGCGTGATATTGGGCAGCATATAAGACTGTTATTCTGATGGGAGGTGCACATTACGCTTCCATGTGAATTTTGTGCGGTTGGTCTTCACGCGACATACTCAGTGGAGGCCTCATATAAAGCGGTGAATGTGCAAAGCTGTGTTCAATGTGAATGAAATGTTGGTTTAGCGTTTTCTCTGTTTAGTTATGGAGGTGTTTGGCCGAATAGATTACTGCCAACTTGACCTTTCCAGGCTCTGAGGGAGGCAAAGTCCGCCGAAACGTCAGCTTATTCGTGACTAAAGAATAAAAGTAACACCTCGCGTGTGCTCACCAAGAATACGAAAAATTATTTGATCAATGCCCAGGTTAATAGAAAGTCGGTCGTGGCAGCTAGCAGCAAAATTACTAATCAATGAGACGAAATTTAGCGGGAATATTGCGTTTTTTGAATGAAATTTTAATGTGTGTTGACTTTGTCTATCAAAAGGGAAATATTTTGATACTGTATTTTAGATTCTGTGCAGTTTTCGGAAAAAGGCACCGAGGTTAGTGTGGACTGCGACGATAAACGGAAACGATAAGCTTCCCGAGCTACGTCATGCACTGCTCTGAAGGACGGCGCGTTTTTTTTGCAGCGTGCTCTCTAATCTTTATATATACCCGTCAGTGTCCAGAATACTTGAGCGCTTTTACGTGGACTTGGGGGTTTTCCAGAACCAACGAAAAGCATTAAAAGACGGCATCGTTTTGGAAGCAAATGGCTCTGAAGTGGGCTGAATAGCTTTTCATCTGGCATTCCAAAAATTCAAACATCACTTGATTAAAGCCATATGTTCTGATTGAATGTTTATTACAATAGAACAATGTGCATTAATTCATGTATAATTCCCGGGACACCTGCGCACTTTTACTAAAGTTCGCTTTTAGTCTTCTAAGGTTAATTGGTTAATAATTTGTAGAGAAATTCTAGAAGCTGCTATGGAAGTTGGGAGAAATAATATTAGTTTGTTGCTAAAGTCTACAGGTCTTTTTTATTTTTTAGACTGTGACGCTTTCCATCTAAATAAAATGTTAGTGTGCTTTTGTCGACGTTATCTAAAACTCTAAAGCATGTTGTCTTATAGAGGCACATGTAGCGCGGTGGTTGGAGGAGCCCTGCAACACGCATGGGTTCGATCCCAAACCCTAGTATCACCAAGCCTTCCATCTCTCCGATGAGACCAATTGGTACCAGACTTGCATGAAAGAATAGGAGCACTGGTTCGACATATCAGCAGGCCACCACGAGTCATTATAAAGGCCAGATATGCATTCAATCACCTCCAAACGATGCTAGATGAAGTAGAATGCATTTTAAGGGATTGGTGAACACCGAGAGCTTTATTCTTTGCTCTCTGTTATTTATCCGATGTTTTCTAAGATCGTTCTTTGTGCTTACACTACTCAGTGATTCGAGTTAAATTCAGGCGATTTGTAAAAATTAAATGAACAACGATAGCAAGAGAGGGTGAAAAAGGAACAGAAAAGTAAATTCAGGCGAAAATAACTTTAGTTTATTCAGGCTTTACTATATAGGACTTAGATAAGACTTTTTAAAATTACCACGCTATTTGAGTACCCACAATCGTCAATGATGACCATTTTAAGATGCTTATTGGGCAAGACGACTATGCTTGCGGGATCACAAAACGACTAAGTGTAAGTAGGACAAATCTAAGGCACACCTCAGCCGAATTAGCATGTCGGAAAGAGAAGTTGAGAAATCATTTAAGAAATCAATGCCGTATAAAATATAGCATAAGCAAGGAGATCGTCCTTGTGAAGTCTTCTTTGTCTTTCGTAGGATGGAAATTAGTCTTTCTTTGCAATGAAGGCAGTGTGCGATAAGAAGAAGGTTTCCGGACGATAACACAGGAACTCTTGCTCAAGTTTAGAAAGCGAGGAAGTACGAACAATTTTCGAGCTAAATTTGATGCTTTAAAGATAATGTTGACTTCTTTTGGGAGATGGACCAATCACTTCTCCAGTTTTGGTGAAATTTTTATACCATCAAAAGTGTCTAAAACGCTCTGGCAGCATTTACCGCCATGTAGCAAAGGCGATACTGTGAACATTGGAAAGCACCATTCCTTTCAGGACAGCTTTTGATCCTCTCGAGAAACTTGAAAGCTGGTAGATTAATATGGTGGAATCGATGAATGTGCTTCTTATTAGCCGGGATGTGTACACTGTAATCGTTTTATTTCGCTGAAGAGATTACTATTGGCTTAGATATACGCATTGGAAAGTGAAATTATGAAATTAGAAAGAGTTCTGCGAGGATCTAGTACTTTCAGAACAGTAACGCCACTGCGAATGAATGCTGGCAGTTGAAGAGATTACTTACGACAAGTTTATTTGTTTCGAAAAGTCTGAGACATTTTGCTCAAAGACGACATTCAGATATCACGTTTTGCATTCCTTGCAGCACATTTAGCTTATGAATAGCAGTCTAAAAGTTATGCTAACATCATGATTTATACCATCGATCCAGTTTAACTGGGTTCATGCCAATTTGTGCTCCTTAGATCAGTTCCTTTGATGGATAATTGCTGAGATCCCCTATACGTCAATAACATGGCTGAGTGACAGTCTAGAAACCCGCCGTCTAGAGATTTGGAAATATCTCACCAACATTATGGTTATTCTAACATCGTTTCCCAGCGTCTGAAGCTGTTTATGACACAGTACGAGAAGAAATGCTACTTGTGCTTGTGGAAGCCTTGGAAAGCGAGGTATTCCTGACTGCTTCGCACATCAGATCAGGCAGATTTGAAGCGTTTGCATGTTGGGTGTTGTTGACTGTGAGCAACCTCATGAGGCAGACAGCTAATGTCACTACTGTCAATGTGGTAGTGTCCGCACTCATCAGCATGTCGCGCAGTCGAGCATTGAAATGATTCCAATCTTACGACTTTCAAGCTAATTTGTTCCTAGGTTTTCATTGAATAAGAACTATTTCTTTTCAGATGCTTTTAGGTATGACATTATCTTCCAGAATAACGCCAGCGAAGACCCATTGGTTCCCTTTTAAGGAATTTTTTTGCTGGAAAGGAAATCTCGAAATAAACATGTTTTTTTTGTCGGAAGAAAGAGACATTTAAATCGTCTTATCATGGCGAACGTTTTAAGGTAACGAATTAATTCGACCAAGTAGAACTGGAATGTAGAGCAGTCAC